TTTTAAAAAAGTTATTTTGCTGATGTAAATATCAATTGTGACGGCACACTAGAATCTTTTTTGACAAGGTAAAAATGCTGAAGCAGCTTGTGAAATTAGCAGCTGAAATGTCACTTCATTTTTCTCTTGGTACCAACAATAATCTTGGAAGACTGTCCAGTAAACAGAAAAATGAGTGTACCAGGAAAGAACATTTACATCTAGGTGTGCAGAATAGTTTCCCCTGGCAACTTATTGTTTTCCCTTCCTCCACCTTTCCTGTGATTCCAATGCCTTCAGTAAAACTTCAAACATGGTTAATCAAGAACTTGGACTGTACTACCTGCAAAGAGAACATCTCCTTAATGCCCAACCTCAACTTTTTCATAGTTTTTGAAAACACCATCTCTGAAATATTCTTCCCAGGCATCTTAACTGACGTGACAGTGCACATGGACAGTATAAGAAAGAATCCCTTAGAAATAGGAAAAAAGCCAAATGTAGAAATTGCACAGGAACTAAATGCCGGAAATGTTGCTGCACAATTGACTATTTGACATCAGTACCAACCATGAGGAGCTCCAAGAGCTGCACTCTGGCAGTTTCTGAGAATCCCTTGTGCATTCCCTGCTGTGGGTCAAACACATGGAGCAGTGGCTGAGGTTTGAGCTGCCAGCTTGCAAAACTCAGGCTTCAGCACAGGGCAGAAGTGCAGGGGAGAAGAGAGGGAGGGAAATCCTTGTTGTCTTCCCAGGAGGACAAGCTCTACATACCTATTCCTTCTCACTACCATGAATGTCTTCTGCAGCTTTATTTTGTGAAATTTTCAAGGCAGGATTTTGTTTGCTAAATCTTGTAAGGAAAGCCAAATCTTTATACTTGCATTTATGTAATAGCTATACCAGGATAATTTCTTTTTGGCTCAAACATCTCCTATCCTTCATTTAAATTTTTTTTTTTTTTGTGTCTGTTGTGCTCATAAGCTTCAGTTCTGCTCTACTCTGTTTACATAAATAAAAGGGAAATCCTACCCCTGCAGATTTAAAATTTATATGTTTGTAGCCCTTAAAATGGCTTCTGACTTATAAGCACAGCTGATAAACTGCAAAAAAAGGAAACTGTCCTTCAGTCCGAGGTCATCTAAGTGACCACTGATACTACCCAAAACTAAATAGGAAATGAATTTTCATTAATACATATTTTAAAGTTCCTCTTTCCTAGGAAAAACTAAGAATGTGAAGGCTAGTTTGGTCTCTGGTTGGTTGGTTGGTTTTTTCTCTTGAAAGGGGAAGAAAACAACTAAGCAGGCTGAGAAAAAGGCACCCTACTCTTGCACCAGAGAGAAGACAGGAGCCAGCATCTCTGCAACCTTTAGGTGAGCATATTGAACATCCTTCCCTCTGGGATCATTGCTCTCAGGTGCCTCCCACAGTGCAATACCCAGCCAAAGCATCCTCCAGAGATAGGACTGGGAAATTCTGTGCTTCACAGCTTGCTGAACCAGCCCTTGCACCTGAACTTGGGCTGATCTGCAATGTGGTCTAGGTCTGCAAAAGCCTATTGAGAAAAGTTCTAAGTTCTACCAGAACTAGTAGTTCCTTTCCCCCAAAAAACTTCTGTTTCAATACACAAGGCTTTTTTCCAGCAAGAAAAAGAAAGATTAATTAAAAAGACTGAATAAGTTTTATCCATTATTTCTGTTGCAGAACTGGCATTAGCTAATGTCACTAGCTGTTTCTTGTGTTTTCTGCATAGCAAATTATCTTACCTGTGGAGCCAGACCTCTTCATCTTCTGACCATCTTCTGTTCAACTGAACTGAGAAAATAAAAGCTTAAGTAGTGTTAGACACAGAGGGACTGGTTAAAATGGGTGCAAGCATATAAATGTCAAATCAAACAAAGCAAAATGCACAGGTACAGTAGGGCACAGTGATGTTAATTTGGAAACACTGAGACTTGAAAGAGACATCATAGACTTGAAAGTTACCTCTCATGTGGAGACTCTGCTTTGACAGCATTCTGGTGGTAACAACTCCTGCATCCACCCTGGGCAGTGCTGCAGAGACAGGCCAGCTGTGGGATCCTTGTGTATGCTGCTAAAGGGAATGCCTAATGAGGATCCTGAAGCAGCCTTCCTACTTACAACTAGGGATGTTGAAAAAAACCTCTTCTGTAAATAAGGAAAAAAACCAAAACAAACAAAACCAAACAATCCCAAACAAACACAAAAAAACCCAGAAAAAATCAAACACAGGACTAACTTAACAAACTCCTATGATGAATTGTCAAAATACAGTTTCTCAAGTGATCTACTTCATCTGATATTTAATTCAGCTTTCTAAGTACTGGTTTTATTGTAAGAATCAATCTATGTGGTTGCTGGAAGAAAAAAGAAAACCAACACTGTTATTACCAATTCTTGATAATCAATTGCTGGAAATTTCCTTCTTACAGTAAACTGTGTTTAGTCTTATTCAAAGAGAAACTAAGCTTTAGATGCCACAGAGCATCACTTAAGAGCACCATGTGCCTTAAATGTCTTGTGTTATTATTCCACAGACACAGGTGTAATTTTCTGACTCTTCTTTGAAAAAGATTCCCCCACTTCCAAATACGTTACAGCAATGTCTGTCTACCTGCAGAGATCCTCAAATACAGTTTCAAAGGGAACTGCTTGATCTTGTCACCTCAAAGGTTGTTCAGCCCTGAGGCTGTTCCTCATCCCTCATCACCAGCAGAGAGCTCAATGTGACGCAGGACTGAGAAAGGACAACCAGCTCCCCAGCCAGAATTTCTGGGATTTCCCTTCCTGACAGTATGCTTCCCTAAGAGAAAGAATGGAAAGGTCTCCAGCTACCACCTGGAAAATCACAAAATCATTTAGGCTGAAAAAAACCTTTAAGGTCCTGAAGTCCACCTGTAGTGCTGCAGGGGTCACAGTGCAGGACCCAGAACCTCCTCTGTCCTGGGATTTGATCCTAATATGGCCAGATTCCATGCACTTCCAACACAGCAAAACTGCCTAATCTTGATGAGACACCACAGTTTCAGGAGTAAACAACCTTCTGAGAATGCAGCTGCTGAACAAGGACTGGAGAAGCCAAAAGAAGGCAAAATAACATCCTGCAGGTGTGTTCATCATCCTGCTTGCCTCTTTCAAGATCCCCTTCTGAGCACATGTGCTCATGCACTCAGGCAAACTAATTTTGCATTGGTCATAGACCTAGTGCTTTAATAAAAGGTAATATTCATTATGTGAGTGTTATTAACTTGGAGGGTGCTTCATTTTATGCTCACCTTCAAAACTACTGGCAATCAGCCTGTCTCAGATGGCTCTGTGCCATGCCCAGCAGGTTGTTGGATTTATTGCCCACAATCACCACTTTTGTCCAGATTTATCACACCTCACTGTGACCATTAGCACCCTTGATTACCTCTTCATCTTGACTGTTTTGAATCACGACTTTGATGTATAATATCTCCTCGAGCAAGGACATTTCCCCTTCAACAGCAACTCTGAATGGAACACAAACTACTGGAAATGCCCCATCAGCTTTTTCAGGTACAGAGAGTTTGTGGCAAGAATTTTATTTTTAAGAATATCAAGGATCTATTTTTTTTTCTGATTATTATTCCATTCCAACCAGTAGTCATCATGGTATGCCTGTGTAATCCAGATCCAGGACAACCATTATAAGTAATAAACACTAAAGGGAGCAGAAATTTATCTACAAGCCATAGGACCTCCTAATTGATTCTTCAGACAGAAACATCCTTCCTTATGACCACCTGTCTGAAAATATCTGCAAAATTCCCTACAATTGTCTATGAGATTTCAACTGAGTAACAGGAAACAACAAACTGACTCTGGCATATTGGTCAGTTTTTCTCTCTGGCATGAGGCTGCTGCAGTTTTCCCTTCTTTGCCTTTCTGAATTCCCCTTCTGTCTTTTGCTGCTTGGAGCAGAGATTAGGTTGCCCTTTGTTTAAAAAACTTCCATTGCCAATTCATGCTAGACCACAGTTATGCATCTACTGATAGTAATACAATGAAAATTTCTCTAAATTCTACTTCAGAAGAAAAGGAATTATTTTACTGAGCTTTTTTTACCCCCAAGTGAAGCATATTGTTGCAATAGGTAGCAAACTTCATGGGGAAGAAAAACCCCAAGACATATCACAGTATGACATCTAATGAACTTTACTGCCTACTCTTTTTGACCTGTAGAATTCCCTGCCTCTCTGCTGCATCAGTGAGGACCACAGGTAAAAAATTCCAAAACAATTCCAGCATCTCAAATAATTTTATAGTCATTACAAACACCTCTTCTGCTTTTGTTCCATTCCTTCTTTCCCAGCCTGGCAAATTCTTAAGTCTATAATTAAAAACAGTCCCACAGAGGAAGTCTGTAAAGGCAACTGTCCTGACAGGTGGAATAAAAATTAAAACTGGTGGGTAAGGAAGAGGTTCAAATAAAAACTGTTGTAATGAGTCCACCCAGGAGCCTGCATTTTCTTAGTTTGCTTGCTGCTAGGATCCTCACAGCCACCAGAACACCTGTTTTCTGTCACTGCAGCTCAGCTGTTGTTCACAAATTTCAAATATTTGTGCCAGTAATTAAATTGTGCCAGCAAACCACTATTAAATTTAGTTATTGCAGAAAGGAGCTAAAATAATTTATCAGATCTGAGTGGACCATCAATGTGTTTTTGAATTTAATGAAAATGAGAATTGGGTCAGCAGCAGGAAGAGGAGACATCAATTAAAAAATATATCTATACTGGAGTCTCAAAAGCCATTAACATTGATTTCAATTCAGGACACAGGGCCTGGCTGGAAAAAAACATTGAGGAATAATTAAAGAGGCTTTTTTTTTTCCCTATGGCTAGAATACAGTAACAGAGCTTCAAGAAGCGGAAGTAAATAAGATGTAATCACTCCAGAGAGCTATGAAGGGCTGTGAGAAGCTGATATCTTTATTTGCATTTTTAAAGTTGAATATTTGCTTTTAGTGGACAGGAATGTGGGACTGGAGCTGGAATTCATTCTGCCCCTTCAAGCTGTTCTTCTCCCAGGCTTGTCCCTGCACTGAGGCATGGTGAGAGCTGCTGCTGCTGAGGATGGTGCAGTCAGACAGGTTCCTCACAGCTGGATCCTGTGCAGGTAGGGCTGGTGACACACACTGGCTTGGTTTAACTGTGTTTTCATAAATAATGTAACTATTCCATTCTTGAGTCAAAAATGTGTGACTTCTGAGTCAGCCCAATCATGTGGAGAGTGTAGATGACATAGATTAACTGCTCTCATCTTCCTGCTCTTTATTTTCAGGTCGATATGCTCTGCTGTGAATGACCCAAACTGGATTGACTTTTCACTAAAAACTAAATCACAGATCTGGTGTATGGCCATGCAAACCTTGTTGCAGACTGGATCCAGGAAGATCTTTGGGTCTGCTAGCAGCAACTCTTCTGCTTCTGTCCTTGAAGAATTTTCATAACTGAAGCAACACAGCTGTCAAGGTCAGTGTTTTTTCAGTGTGGTTTGTGAATGAGAGGAATTACATGATAAAGAACTAAACTAAAATTTAACCTCCATATAAATGTCTTCCTCCCTCACCTATTCTTGAATAAATGTATATAATTCTGCTTTTTGCATCTTTGGTAGAACTTTTCTCATCTAATTCAACCCACTAATCCTGCAGAAAAAACTCTCCAGACTCAAAGGTTTATCTTTCTTGTTAGTTTGCAAGGATTTTTCTTTTTCTTCAGCTGATGAGTTGATCACTCACACAGCAGTCCAAGCTTCCTGAAAGTGGGAAATGGGGGAGAGAAGCTGAAAAATCCAGGGGCTTGAGTAATCCCCAAGAAACAGCAGATACACCACCTGTTTGTTTGCACCCTACTTTGAGAGCCATTCATTGATTTTTGCTGGACAGTCATTCACAAGGAAGGAAGGCAGGTAGGTTTGTATTCTTTCTAAACTTAATGCACTCAGGCTAGAAAAATAAGAAAAAAACAATTTTGTATGGGTTTGGTTGGCACATATTAGCCCTAATTCCACTAATTAGTGGAAAACAGCTTTTCAAAGGCTGAGTACTCTGTTCTCTGCACTAGACAATACTTCAAAACCTTCTAGTGCTATACCAGACACACAAGTTAGCTAGTTTATGTGTGCCAAATCAAGTTACCTATCAGAGTTTTAACAGCTTTCTTTTCTGGAAAAGGCAATTTGCTTCTTTTAGACACAAATGTATTTTAATTATGTTGGAAACAGTTATCAGAAAACTCACAACATCTTGATCAGAAATCTTGCTGGTCTAAGACTTGAGGGCTGGTAGTCAAACATCTTCTGGGGACCACTTGACTTTCTTCCATTTGCTTTTTTTCCCATTGGCTGTGACAAACCAAGCCACATGGTGTTTAAGGAACCTTGCAAAACCCATAGCTCTTGCCAGGTAAGTGTCTGTAGGTATGAAAATTTGAGCTTGCTGTTATTTGGAGTCACTGTCCCTGGAGGTGTTTCAGTAAAGACTGGATGTGGCACTCAGTGCCATTGCCTGGTTGACAAGGTGGTGTAAGGTAATAGGTTGGGCTCCATAATCTCAAAGGTATTTCCCAACCTAGTTGATCCTGTGATTTTTTGTGTCTAATTATTTCATACGAGCAGTGAAGCTGAAAAATATGTATATCCTGTGATGCACATTCAGGTCATTAAAAAAAAAAAAACAACCAAAAAACATCAATTGAAACACAGTTGAAGTTTTGCAATGCAAACATTCTATGATATCTGCCTGGTGGATGCATTTGCACCTTTATAGTAACTAAAGTATTTGCACCTTTATAGTAACTAAAACATTTCCGTGTACATGCAGGAGTTCTGCATCCAATATGCACTCTATCAAAGGTGGCTTAAAAAAATTGAAAAAATATCACCAAAGCAATTAGGTAATTTTTTTGATACTTTTCTTTCTTAGATAAAATTAACTGATATCACTACTGTCTTCATTAAATGGTAGCTCAGTCAATGACATTCTACATGTAACTTTTAGATATTGGTGAGAAACAAAATTAATTGCCCAAAATATGGACAATTGCAACATGAACAGAAGAAGGCAGAAAGTAAAGCTACAGATCTTGAAAAGAGCACACTTGGCCAGCATTTTCAAAATTGATTTTACTAAAGTATGACTACAATTGTTAGCAAAATTACTTGACAAATAGAAGGCTCAGCAATTACTGATTTATGATTTTAGCTAAAATCTTATTAAAATTAGCTTCTCTTACAAAACTAAGTATTTGGTACAGATTATCTCTAATATCATGGGGGCTTCTGCAGATCAGTTGGAATTCAGTTCCTTTTGCTTACTTGCATCTGCTGTCAGCACATTTTGGCAGGATTCTTTATCTTGCATTTACATTGGTCTGAGAAGGACACATGAGTGATCTCTGAAACCTCTGGAGAAAAAAAATATGTTGATTAGTTAGTCTTGTTTTGTTTTTCTGTCTGAAGTTTTGGGAAGATCAAAAGAGTATTTTATCAACAATTTCCTAAGTCTGTAATAGATTTTTTTATCTTTTGAGCAAAATCAGAGGCTTAATTTAAAGCCATCTGGTTTAACATTAATGACTTTTATAGAGCATCAAACTGGCCCACAAATCAGCTCTTAGAGAAGTCATTCCATTTCTGAAAATATTTGGTTAGATAAATAAATTTGCCTTTAAATTCTTCTCAAGCTGTTCTTTTGCACAGAAATGACTTCATGTAGAATTTGGGGGTCTGGAATGAAGGAAATGACATAAGAATATATGCCCTTCACTACTTCTGGAAAAAAAAAATGTCATAAGGCCTGAGGCTCAAACATAGACCCTTTGATCACAGGACTGAAATATCCTTCCATTTTCAGATATAACCCCATCATGACCTTTAGAACTAAGGTGGCATCAAATCTTCAACTGAAAGTGTTAAAAGACAAAATGTAGTTTTTTAGGGATTATGAGTAGTTGGGGTAGAAAATGAAATTGCAAAACTTCTAATATTCCCTGACTTGACACAGGTAGAACCTAGCATTGAAAAAAATCAGTTTGAGAATCCCAATCATATTTGTGAGCACAAGTCTCAAGTGCACAGCTAAATTTGTACTTTCAACATGTTTGCACTCAAACGTGCAGATGCTACAATGGAGCTATTTCTAAAACGTTTCCAGAATATCAATTTACTGTTGGCTGGAGAGGATGTTCTCATAGAGGAATCACTGGCAGGGGTAGGTCAGGGGCACAGCCAGTGGAGCAAGGGAATTTGAAAAGCCACCTCAGGTAGGTGAGCTCCAAGATGTGAGGGGAATTTATTATCACCTGAACCTATCCCTATGAAAACTGCACCTGGACTTAATAAATAAGTTATATCTGAAGATAGACCATTTTAATTTATTCTTCCTCTCCTGTAAAATTCCAAGTTTCTTTGCTTTGATGACACAGCCTGTCCCAGGCTTTTCTGCATCTTAGCAGCAAGCAAAATACTGTCCACTATCTTGTACTTGTCATACCAAACCCACCAGTTCACAACCCCTCATTTCCAGGGAAATCCCTGAGCATCCCATTCATCCCTGCCCTCCTAGTGCATACATCCTGGCCTTGCGTCAATCCTCCTCCTTCCTCCACTGGTTTACTTCCAGCTTCCTCTGGCCCTCTGCACAGTCTCTTGCCATCTGCAGCAGCCTTCCAGTACCTCTCTGCCTCATTAACTCTCCATCCCTTATCTCATCTGCAAACCTCTCCTCATTCCTCTGCCTGCACCTCTTAATTCCTTCCACTCTCTTCTCTGTTATTGGCCTTTGTCTCTCTTTAATATGTTCTGCAGGCAGTATCTTTCTGCCTCTGTTGGGCTGTAATTTATACAGTATAATATCTATGGTCTTGTATTATTTATTTTGTAAAGCATTTTAGGAGAAGTGTTTACATGAAAGGAGTGATGAAAAATAAACTTGCATTGAATTATTGATAGTGTGTTAAGATGAGCTTGTACTATTGTCATCTCTTCTCTTTTTCTTTTCTGTCTTTTCACTTCCCTTCTCAAAAATTTCCCAGAAATTTTATCTTAGTCTGAAGTATGCCGCTCTTAATAACTGAGCAGTGATAACTTCATGGAGTTAAATGTGGGTAATTGATGGGGTCTGAAAGCAATGCTGTCCAAAGAAAGAATGAAACTTTGAAACAGAGCTCACCAAAAGAAAATGGAAAAGATTATTTAACATAATTCTCAGGGGCTTATGGCCTTGGATAATCAAAGTTCATGGTCACACTCTGGGGACAGAGAAAGAAGAGAGCAGCAGGAGGCTTTGCAGTGAGATCTGTCCACTTGCAGATACACCAGCATCACTGAGGAAATGTGAGGAGTGCAAAAGTCTTCCTTCTTCCCAAGGCCATGTTTGAGGAGCATGGTGGAGGTGCCAAGTTTCCAGAGCACAAAAGCCACCTGGCAGGTTTTATGTCCAGAGTATCAGCTAAAAATAGGAGAGTCACATTACTGGTCACAGCAGTGTCAGGCCTTTAATACATTGACAAAGGGTTTTGCAGAAAGGAAGGAGGTGCCCAGTGGAAATGAAACTTGGGAATGAATCTTGTCCTTCTGGTCGACTGAACAGCCCAGATAGATAATTACAAAGCAACAGCAAAGGTAGTCAGGCAGAATAACTTATATATATATATTAAATTTATTCTTTTAATTTCCTTTCCAATTCTTTTTTCATGAATTGCATAGATATGAATATCAGTCATCAGTTAAAGTAGAACTTGAAAGTCTTTCATAAAATTATTCCTCTGAATCTCCATTTTCATTTTGCCTTTCTGTTTCTCTCATTCCTTCTTTATTTTTTTATTTCTTTTCATTTTGCTTGCAATTACCTGCATGAAGCTTATTTATATGTTTAATTTGCCTTATGATTACAGGTACATTCTCACACTCTGGTAATTATCTCTGGAGCAAGATATGATTGACATAGCTAATGATAGCTAGCTTCAACAGAAGAGTCTGCAGTTCTCTCCTTTGCCTGAGAAATGGCATATCTTTATTCAAATATTTACAATAAAAGGAGAAAAGGTCATCTCAGACCATGGCCCAGTTATTGTTGTAGGTTATGAGTCCTTAGCTAAGGCAAGTCATTGCAAGTTGGGGTTACTGGAAGTGAATTACAAGGTCTAAAGCTCTGCTCCCTATTTCTTATGTACTGCCTTTCCTGCACTGTTAACACTGCAGAATACTTCATGGCCACTTTATGTTCTGCAGGTAAATGAGATGTTATGAGATGCTCAGGAAAGCTAAAAAAAAAAAAATTAAAAAATTCACTCATCAAAGCAACATTTCTAGAAATAAGAGTGTAGGAGTAAAATGTGAAAATATTAAATTGCAGCCGAAGAGAATATCTGGGTAAAACATGCTCTGACATTTATTGTATTAATATGAAGGTGTTAAGATTTATCGCACTATGAAATTTGTGTCTGCAGCCAAGGGTGGAGAAAACAGCCCCATTGGCTGTATCTGGTGCTGCTAGGGAGGCAACAAGTAGGGAAATAGAAGGGAAAGAAAGACTGGTGTTAATGAATTTAGGACTTTTAGGTGAAACACAAACTCAGCCAAAGTGAGAGACATGCCAGTGTCTTGGCCAGCCCTGGGTGCTGATGTGGCTGAGCTGCCCCATTTGTTACAGGTGAGAGGTCTCCTCACTCTACTCAGTGCTGGGCTGCTGCTAAGGAGGACCCAAACTGAATTTCAGTTTAGGAGAACTGTCTTCAATAAAACCAGGTGGGATTTCTTTCTGCAGTGGGTTAACACATGTAATTAATAAAAGAGCAGTAAGAGCACTGATGTGATATTTGTATTCAGTGTTGCATGGAATAAATCAAGAAATTTCCTTGCTTATATCTCCAGACAAAACACAGCCTAATCAGTACTACATCTTCTGAATTTGCATTTGAGGACAAAAATGAAAGATTTTTTTAACAGTCATGTAGCAGAAGTTATGATGCAACAGATTAGAAATGGGGCTTCACAATCACTTGTTACAGATGAACTGCTGTGAGGACAAATTATTAGATGACATTTAACCTATGCTGGCATTTTTGTTTGCCCTTAGAACATCACCTAATTAAATGTGGATTTATTCTGACAAGCCAGATGGTCCTTTGGTTACTGCAAGAAGTCATGACATGCCAGATCTATTCCTGGCTCTGCCACTTATCTGTCCTGTGACCTTTGCAAATCATTTAACCTCTTTACACCTCCAAATTCCATTTATGAGCCAGAAGAATAATGTGGGTTTTTTACTATTCAAAGGCTTTGCACAGTCCAGTGCATTAAGATCACTGGCTGCACCACTGTTAATGAGAGGACAACAGATTGAAGTTTGTGGAGCTGCTATGGTCAGCTGGCATTAACTGCTCCATATCCCCTGACTTAAATGGACTCTGACTAATTCATGCTCTCTGAAGATTTGCCTCATTTTGTGTTCTCATTTAATTTGCAATCTGAATATTTCATTTGCTGTATTTTACCATTAAGGTCCCGTTCTCTTATATTGTTTTTAATAAGCTATTAACAAATTTATTCAAGGGTAATAAATCCTTATGAAGTCACAGAAATCAATTACTTGCTCTTATTGCTGCTAATAGATACCTCACATTTCAGCCATGTGTGCTTCCAAGATGTTTTATTAAAAGTAGTTATAGCTATGTCAATTTAAATTTTTAAATTAGAAGTAATTTTAATCTCTTCTCAGAATTAGATTTTTTGGGAAATATTTCTATGCCTTTGAAATTGGAGAGGTTCTTTTCCTTTCAAATTGGGACATTTAGCAAAACCAAAAAACATCAAAACCTACTCTTACACTTTTCTCAATCTTTCCAAGAAACACCAAAGTTATTCAAAAAATATGACTGTTTTTTTCAGAGAGGAAATCTAGAAAAAAAAGGTGTAGCTGTCACAAAGTGCAAGTAGAGCATTTGATTAAAAAAATCTCTCTACTCCTTTATACTGGACTCAGGGATGCTCCTTCTTATCAGAGTAAATAAACAAACATATCAGAAGGAGCTCATACAGTCATGTCCTTCCTCACTCTTATCTTCACCTCCTAATTTTCTAAAATTTTTACATACTTTAACATTTTAATGTACATTTACAAAAGATTTTTTTGATCCACAGCATCACTCAGCAATAAATAGGTCCTTCAAAGTATTTTGCTTTAATTTCTTTACAGCCCATCCAGGAAAGTTGCCTAGACTTCAAAGCAGAGGCAACTACTTTTTTTCCCCATGTTTTGTTGAGGTTGGAACTTTGATTTTTCAATTATAAACTTAATAATTTGCATATTTAATTATTTGCTTCTATAAATTCAACTTTCAATGCCATTGTGCCTACATTTGGAATCAGAGGTCTCTGAGGTGTGTGATTAATTGCTAACTGTTTTTTCTTATACACTTTTTCTGTTGACTTATTTACTTGTCAGAAGATGAAGGTGATATGGATGTGTCTTTTGTATCCCAAATAGCAATAACAAAGTTGACTGTTTCTGCAAATGCTTTCTGCCTTCCCGATGCCATGGATCCTTGCTTCAACCTCTTCAATAACAGAGGCAAATTTTATAAATAAATGTAAATTGTGAGAAAAACTTATTACGGCAACACTGACATGTCTGAGGTACCTGCTCAGTTTATAACATTTTGGATTGCAATTGGTTTCTGGAACTTAAAATAGATAGAAATTGGAAGAATCAGTACCAGATGAGATGTTTCTATCAGAAATCTCAGTGATTCATCAAGTAGGCATATGGCTACACTTCTTCAGGAGTCCAAGATGTATAATGGAGTTTTAATAATATCCCCAGGAATCCAGTTTTAACAGCTTGATTTAAAGCTCCTGGTAGGGAGTATTTCCATTGGCACTACTGGGGTTTTAGTCAATATGCTCACACCTCCAGGAAGCCTTCATTTGCCCTGGCCATGCTGCTCATGAGTCACCACCACATCCCTGGCACTGAGCCCAGGCAGCAGCATTTGGCTCTGGAACCAGATTTGCCTTGGGATGATGGACGTGTTGATCTGGGGTTTTGACTCGAACTCTTACAAGAAATATTATTCCTTCTTAGCTCTCAAGTGAGCTTTAAAATTAATAAAAGATGGAAATCTCATGGTCTTCATTAACTATGGAATAGCACACAATTCCAACAACCCTGAGGTTTCCTTCTTGCATGTGACTTCTCTAACCTGACCATCACAAGGGCTCTCCCATCAGTCCAGCAGTATTGGTGTTACTCAACCTCAAGCTTTTCCACAACATTTTCCTGGCCTCTCAAAAACATTTCTCAATGGCTTGCCTACTACTTCATTAAAATGACCATGTGTTTCTGTTCCCCTCAACAATGGCAACAAACCCACTTTTCCCATGGAAAGCTCTGACTCTTGTGAAGAAGCTGTGCTGTAAGTGACCCCTGTTTCAACAAGTGCAAGATGGGAGTTCTTTCTAGGGAGGCTCTTTCTAGGGCTCTCAGCTTGGTTTTGCTGTTCTGTTCAGCTCTGTGTTAGAACTGGCTGTAGGCTGTCTAAGCACCATCCCAATTATTTGAACCATTTATTAGAAACAGAGAGTTCAGTCATGTTTGCTCTTCTTGTCCTTGGTGCATTTCATACCCATCCAAACAGGTGAGCTGGGATCTTTCTGTGCAAACAAAAGCATTCACTCTGATTTCTGATGTACTTCACATCATTTGCTGGTTGTAAAATGTTCACTAATTCAACTGGGGAGCAGAAACCTTGTCATGTGATGTAATTATTCACCCACTGCAAGCAAAAAACAACATATAAATAAAAGCAACTGTGTGTGGAGCTGCCATATGCTGAAGTTTACTGCTAGAAAGTATGTGATGAGAGCTGTGACTAGCAGACACTTGTTACATGTGTACAATGAGTATTTTTGACCATCTTTTCTCAGCATATGCATGAGTGTAAAATAATATTTTTTATGGAAAGTCTCTCTAGAAATCTCAGGTATGACTTAAAGTAAAAAACTTAAAGTCCCAGCATGATGCTGTATTTTTTTTCTAAGGAATGTATTCAAATGGTTTTCTGGGTAGGTTTATTGCTCTGAAAATGTGAGTCAAATTCCATGAAAAGTTTGCAATGTTTTTCTGAACAAAGAAGACTGAACACAGTGAAACTTGCTGAAAAGGTTGCATAAATTTTAAGTCCTCCTGTATGAGCAACACTGTGGGATTAAAAATAAAAAGGCTGGGTTTATAAAGTTCCAATCTATATCTACCTGAAACAAAGGAACAAGAAGGTAAGTGAACTCAAAGTAATCTTTTGCTTCAAACCTTGCAAAAACTCAAGCATTGAGTCTCACTATGAGTCTCATTGAGAACACCACCCTGTATAAATCAATCATACTTTTGCAAGGACTTGGCCCTCTGACCACAGAGTCATGAAAGGTTATTACAAGTTTGTCATATTATTGCTGTATAGTAAATTTCCTGCTTACCTGCAAAACACACACACAACGGAAGGAAGGAAGGGAAAATACAATCTTCTTTAAAATTACTTTAAAAAAGAAAAAAGCATGATCTTTTTTAAGCTCTTTTCCTCTGAATAGAATACACCATTTCTTCAGGGGTTTTTTTTGGGTATGTTTTGAAGTGGGCAGGAATCACCTCTTTTGCAAATGACTTTCTGCACTGTGGAACCTGTACTCCTCTCCATAAACAAAATAATGCTATGGTAGCAAGTACAAGAGGAGTTTGTCCCTGGGACCATGCAAATATCTCTGATAACATCTGAAGATGATACCAGAATGATATCTTCAGCAGTATATAAATTTTCTTTTTTTAATAAATCTTTAAACATCTGTTCCTCTTCAGAGTTTTCTTTACTTCGATCACTCAGTCTGCATGACAGTTATTATTTTCATGAGCCTTCATAAAGGTGTTTGAGCTTGCAGAAACCTTCTTGCAAATTGAACTAACCAGGAGGAATTAAGAAAATGGAACCAGATGTATCTCGGGAATTTCTTTGAACCTAATAAAGTATTGTCTATGGCGAGTATCCAGAATTCATTACAATCTTCTCTTCTTAGACCACAGGCCATGGTTCTCCTTTCACTAAATGAGAATAATTACCTTAAAACACATGTAGCTGCCCTAGTGCAAAACCATTGTAATTGGCAGAGAAAACATGTTCCATAGATTTATACTTATTCCCTTATAATAAATTTTCTTGATCTTATTTAATTCTGATTCTGTTTTTAAGGTAGAAGAAAATGAACCAACATGTTTCCTCAGACGCACAGCTACAAGCTTCTTAAACTGATCTTCACTTCAGCACAAGCCGCAGAAGCTTCACACTCAGCAGAGAATTCCCAATGAGGCCTTGGGAACACTCAGCACCTGCCTTCAACAAATTAATCCCTCAGGAGATAAGAATCCAACATCTTAGAAGGAATGAAAACCTTTTGTAAGTGAATGCTTTTATTGTCTATTACAGTCCTCATATGAGTTTACTTAACAGAGAGTTGCCAAGAGACCACTGACACTTTGCATTTTCTGCAGGTCCTTATGTATTTTCAGGAATACACAGGAAGCTGCTGTGAATTTACAGAACAGTTTGTTCTGGTGCATCCTAGTCACAGCTGTGTGTGTTCATGTCATGAGTAATTAGGCAGGCAGAAGAGGTGTGTATAACATCTTTACTCATTTTAACCAACAGCCTCTTTCAAATTCCCTCCTGTTGTTTCCTCAAGAGGTGGCATGGAAATTTCTACTAGCACATTTAATTAAGTAAAGCAGAGATTAGTTAAGACCCCTCTAGCTCCATGAAATTAAAACACATTCCTCCTAGGGAAGAGACCATAATAAGTTTCTCTACACCTGGTCATAATTGCAATTCCTGAGTCCTAGAAAGCTCCTGAAAGCCTCTGGTCTGTCAGGTGCAAAGGCAGAGAGTTCTGGACAGGTGTGGGATGTATGGTGAGGGTCAAACACTCAAATTGAGCCTCTTGATACAATTTTCTCAAGCACTGCCAGAGAAGGGTTTAGCAGCATGGGTTTCAGGTGTATCTGAGTTTCCAAACTGAGTCTGTTGTGCCTGCTCCATGTCCTAGAGCTGCTCAGGGGATGCTGGAGCATTCTTCCCTTGGCAGGTTTGAACCCACTGCCCCTTGCCAGTGGCAGATCTTCCACCCAGGAGGTGCAGATGGGAGCTGCACTGCTCCAGAACTTGTAGCTGACTAAAGGACCAGGTCTCTGGCCTTCAGAAATCACTGCTCATAATTCAGCATTTTTAGAGCCTCTGCTAAAAGAGAAGAAGGCAGTAGATAAAGCTGCTCTGTGTAATGGCACACTTTCAGTTTGGCAGGGGAAGAGAAATTAAAGCAAGGAGGACACCTGATGTTGTGATGTTGTGGGTCCCCAGGACAAAGTGAGAGATGAGAATTTGACTCCAAGTTCTCAGAAGGCTGATTTATTATTCTATTCTATTCTATTCTATTCTATTCTATTCTATTCTATTCTATTCTATTCTATTCTATTCTATTCTATTCTATTCAATTCTGTTCTATTCCATTCCATTCCATTCCATTCCATTCCATTCCAATACTAAAACTATACTAAAAAGAATAGAGAAAAGATACATCAGGACGCCAGAAAAGATTGAATAATAATAACTCATGACAGACTCAGAGTCTGACACAGCCAGCTGTGATTGGCCATTAATTTAAAACAATTCACATGTTTGGAGAAACAATCTCCAGGCCACATTCCAGAATAGCAAAACATGGAGAAGCTGAGGCTTCTCATCTTCCCAGGAGAAGAAATCCTGCCAAAGGGATTTTTCAGAAAATATCAAGGTGACAACCTGAGATGTAGAAACCACCTTCTTCTTCAGTAGCTCAATGCTTGACAGTGATTTTTGGCTCAGAGACCAAAACCTTTGGTTTTTAGCTAAAATCAAGAATAGAGTTAAAGCTTACTAAATACAAGTAAGCACTATTTTAGTCTAGCCACTCAAGAATTAGTGCTCTATAGAATATGATTTTTTCCTGTTTTTTTTTTCCTTCTCTTCTGTGCAGTCAATGAGAGATAAGCAGTAGGTAATCCAAACCAATCCAAATCCATTACCATTCCAGTGACTGAGGTCTTTCTACCAGATAAAGATGGGCTTGCCCTGGGTTTTCTGAGCTGCCTAAAAACATCATTGAGGAGGACTCTGCTGGCAGATGAAGGAACAATATTTTTAGAAAAATTTTTTAATCTATCTCCTTCATTCAGTTAAGTTTCTACAGTAGCTAAAGTGTAAAGCAGTAGTTTTTTAGCATATTTTTTAATAACACAAAGAAAATAAATCTGGAAATATCTAACACACCTGGAGATATCTAACAAGTTACAGACAGGGAGAGCAACTGGTTTATCAGTCAGAAAAACTACAGAAAACCTTAGGCCATAAAATTAATTTTTTGTTGCAGCTCAAAACAATCTATGCTTTCTTATATAGGCAACTAAATATAAATATGTATGTTCGTATAGAGATTCCACATGGATTTCATTCAAGGATTCCTTAATGCATACATTTTTCCTTTCTAAAGACATTATTAAAAATGCCTGAAATCGCCTGAAAAACAACCTAAATTTTATTACAGGTATAAACAAAATTGAGTCTGTCTAAAAATCTAATTTTTAATTTCTACTGAGTTGTAGACATACTAAATCTTAAAGTCTGAACTCTCTCTGAAAAGTATTATATTTTTTATATTCAGACATATACTGAAATAGGAACAATAAGGACTGTCTTTTCCATAAATCTATTCCACCATGTCAAAAAGCCATTTTCTGAAAGTGTCATATTCATTGAATTATTTCTCAGCTGTTGTTGTCACTGATATTCTATTGAGTAATGTAAATTTGAAATATATAAATGAAAGAAATATTATATGGTGTATTGATCAGCCAATGCTGATTTTTTAACCATTTAAAACTCTGTACACTTATTTGAGCAACTTCCACTGCATTTTCTGAACAAATAATAAAGAAAAATATAGTTTTGCTAAAAGAGCTGAGTCCCAAAGGTACCCTGTGCTCTTCAAATAAAGAATAATTCTGTATATTGTTATTGTATATTGTCTACCTTGAGATCTGGTCCTGTCAGATTAAAAAAGAGCTGTTATTGTCCTTAGTCTAAAAATACTGTTTCTCTTTTTGTTGCATGTCAGACTCCATCAACTCTCTCCCACAAGGTACATCTTGCTATCACATCCCTACATCCAGAGCTGCAGAGGAGCTTTCTCAAACCCTAAAACTCTGCAGAGAACACCTGAAATTTTGCTTGACTCTAACCTCAAGGTACAGGAAACTCACCTTTTATACCTCTGTTTTCCAGTGGTTTGTCTACAACCCCCTGGAGGTACTTTGGCTGTTTCTAGGGAAGGCAGGAAATATAGCTAACAAAAATAAATCTGTACTCACTAGTCTTATATTTGCAGCTCCATTAGGATTTTTTTTCAGGGTATATTAAACACAAAATTTTGAGAACTTTTGCTCTAGGATCTTACAGTCTAGATATTGGGCAGCTGGCAGTATATGGAAAAAAGACAAGTAACAAGGAAACTGGGGAAAAAAGGATGCAACAGAAATTTGCTGAAAGTACAGATGCTGATGGGATAGAATTATTATTATTATTATTATTATTATTATTATTATTATTATTATTATTATTATTATTATTATTATTATTAATAATAATAATAATAATAATAATGTTGTTGTTTTGTTGTTATTACTGCTCTTGTTGTTGTTATTATTAACCTGAAAAGAAACCATAACCCTTGAGCACAAAAGTATCAGTGCAGACAAAATGTTCCATATGCCTGTGTATAAATAGACCTGGTAGAGAGCATAACAATAGCTCTGCTGCTGCTCTCTCAGAGCTGAGCTGAACCTGATGAAGACAAGGGGGGATTGTTTCTTGCTGCTTTCACTGAGGATGAGAGGGAGCCATTGTAATGGCACTGCCTATTAACAAGGATGTAACTCAATGAGGCCAACAGTAATTGTACAACAGGAAGAGCAGACTGGGTAGGTTTGACATGTCCTCAAATTGGTTGTCTCTGTTGGAAAGCAGTGGCAAGCTCTGCCTCTGCCCCCTAAATACTTAAAGGAAAGAACAGCCTAATCACTGCAAGTGCTCGTTGCCCTGTACTGTGGGTCAATCCCAGAATAATCAGTTTCTGTGACTCATGTCTGTAGGAATCGTACAGAGCCACAGAATCGCAGAAACTCTGTGCTGGAAGGGATCTGAAAGGTCATCTAAATCCAATTCCCCTGTCATGAGCAGGGATACCTTCCACTAGGCCAAGTTGCTCAAAGCCCCATACAACCTGGCCTGGGACATTTACAGAGATTAAACATCTGCAGCTTCTCTAGGAAACCTGTACCAGAGTCTCACAATGTGAAGAATTTCTGTCTGATATCTAATCTAAACCTAGCTCTGTTGGTTTGAAGCCATCACCCCTGTCCTATCACTAGGTGACCTTGTGACATGTCCCTCTCCAGCTTTCCTGTAGGGCCCCTTTGAGTCCTGTAAGGTGCCCTAAGGTCTCCTTGGAGCCCTCCCTTCTCCAGGTTGAAAAATCCCAATTTTCTCATCCTGTCAACACAGGAGAGGTGCTCCAGCTTTCTGACCATCCTCATGGCTCTCGTCTGGACTCCAACAGGTCCCCATCCTTCGGATGTTGGAGCAATCCCACCTCCTTGCTCATCACGCAGTGTAAGAGGAGCTGAACCTGGTCTGTGGTGTCTGAACCAAAATAACTCAAAAGATGCCAATTAGCAACTGTATTTCACATTTAGTTTGGGTAGTGGGTGTTTTCTTTAAGAAACAAATTACATCAAAATATAAACTGTTTTTCAGCTTTTGTTTGTATTTTTCCCTCTCCTTCGTGTGTGTGTCTGTGTTTTGGGCATTCATTTCCTATACCCTAGGAGGCATTAAAAAAGGTTTATATTTTCATTTTGTGGCAGTGAGTCTGATTACACCATTCAAGGGAACATGCAATGGGCAGTATTTGTATGATTTTGTCAAGACAAATATTTATCTTTCACAGGGGTGTTATGGCTAAGCAATTCATACTTCATTACAGAAGTCACATATGAGAACACCCTCTTGATTTATTGTCTGTGGCAGAATTGGACTGCCAGCTCTGAGCTATACTTTCTTAGGTGTCAAATTCTGAAGTACTAATACATCTAATTCTTACATATATATATGTCTGAGGTTAGTAAATGATTAGAATTATTAAAGCTCTTCAGTTCTTCAGCCCTTATTTTCAATCTTCTTAATTGCCAGAGTCTACCATTTAGATCTAATGGAAATGTTGTAGGAGGAATATTTTTTCTATTTTATTGAAGCATTTTATTGAATTTTATTTGGTGTTTTTAAGGCAGATTGTTTTGGCAACAGAAATCTCCCTGGTGTCTACTGGTTATGGAGAAAAAAACTTTCTCCTGCCCTCCTCCTCTAAGGCTGACTTCATAGAATCACAAATTGATGTTCTGACACTTTTCTGAGAAATAAAAGACTTTTTTTCAGAGTTCTCCTCTTCACAGGGAACAACAACAACAACAACTTGTGAAACGTTGATGGGTGCCACAAATGAAATTGGCCTTCTCCAGCTGGTTTTAATTTCCACAGTAAGGGCACACACAACTTCCTTAGTCCTTTGTGAATTCATCTACTTGAGACTCCCTATGTGGCCATTTTTCCATGAGCTGCCACACACAGGGCAACCTCAAGTGGCATCTGTTGTATTTACATTCAAACATTTTCTCAAAGGAAATGATAACCTGTAGTTCATGTTAGTTTTTAAATCAGAAATCCTGGACAAGCACCTTTTTTATCATAAATTTAGTTTTGCCAGATTTTAAACACAAGAAAAGAAGCTCCTTTGTTAAAATAAAAAAATGGAAAGAAAGTAAATAAATGGGAATTTGTGAATGCAGAAAATTTCCTCTTGATTTTCCTTTCTACTGAAAAACTAACCAAAAAAAAAATTCAGATGTCCTGCCCAATGTCTGGACAATCTGGACCCAATGGTCTAAAATGCATTAGCAGACATTTAGAGCTTGGGATCTCTGCATCACATTGTCTGGCCAAAAAACTATGGCTGGCCAGTGTTATGGTTCTATCCTGGCAGTTAGTTTAGCACCATGGAGCCACTATCTCACTCTTCCCACCAACCAAAACAAAAGAAAACAAAAGAAAACAAAACAAAAAAAAAATCCAAAACAAAACAAAAAAAAAGATAAAAAAGCCAAAACCTAACAATATAAGCATGTGGTGAAAAAAATCCAATAACTCACAACCATCCAACAGATTCTCAGTCTGTCCCCAAGCAATGTCAATCCTGGAAAACTTCCTCTGCCACTCTATTTATTACTGAGCACAACACAGCATCTTATGGAATATTGGAATATTTTTTGATGAGCTGGGATCAACGGTCCAGGCCATGTTTTCTCCCAAATTGTTGCCCAGAATAAAAGGTAGAAAAGGCCTGGATTCTGTGTCAGCACTGCTCAGCAATAACTGAAACATCACCTCCAGAACACAGCACTATACAAGCTGCTCTAAGGATAACCAACTTTATCACAGACAAACCATTATTATTATTATTATTATTATTATTATTATTATGGCAGAAGCTAGTCAGCAAGAAGTCCCAAATCTTCTTGCTCATGACACACACAGAGGATGAAACTTAATCTAGTGGTATACAAAGATCCAGAAAGATTGAACACCAAGGGTCATCCTTTGCCTGGACTCATAATTCAGTTGCTGCCCTTGCCTGCTGACTGAACTGTCTTTTATTCATCCACAATCTTATACTTCTACAAGAAGACTCAAGGGCTTAGGTCCAAGCTCTGGAGACTGCAAGTTAACAAACCAGTTCATTTTGCAGGGCTAGATCTGGTTGCTTATCCTTCAGAGACCCAGAGGATGGCTTGGGATGATGAAGGAGAGTTTTTGTTCTGTTACTGTTTCCCTGTATAATATTATTGCCTGGAATTGGAAAGATTTTGGTCCTTGTTCTCCAGCATGTTTTGTTTGTGTTCCGATCAGGTAACAACTTGTACAAAAATCCTGGGATTGATATAAGGCAGTTTTTTCTGGTATTGCCATTTTCCCTCTATAAAATCAAGCTTAGTGTAGATCAGAGGTGGAAATCTCTGACAGAAAGGACCATTAGATAACAAAAAGAATTCTGTAAAATGTGCTTTAAAAAAGAGGAATAAACAAAATCTCACCCTACCACAGCTAACACATTAAAAAATGACATTTTCTGATGTATTTTTCTTTCATTTTAAGAACTGTGTAAACAACATGATCTATTTCTGCTTGCTGGTACAGTGAAAGGATCCTAAATCAATGAAACAGCTGTACAGAGATGAAATATTAATCTTGAACATGAATCTAATGTTATTTTATGAATATTTGGCCATGTAAATTTTAACTTTGTTGAACCAGAGACATGAGAAGGAGGAACAAATAGCCCACCCATTACATGAAATAGATATGTGCCTCTCTGCTCCTCTCTTAATAATTTGTGCTATGGCATCTTTTCCACAGTAAAATTCCAGTTAGTAATGCCTCAGACCACTCCTTTCAGGGGGAAAATCACTGGAGTGAATTCTCAAATGAGAAAAGGAAGCCAAGAGAGATTTTAGTTTGTATTTTTCCTCAGGTTTTAAACAGCTAACTTGACAAAGCAAAGCCCAGATTCTCCGTAGCAGCTGCTCTGCCCAACAGCCACACACAGAGTAGGTATTCAGCAGTTCTGTCTGGAGCACAAGAGCTGTGTAACCTGCACTTGAAGGAACTGTTCTGAAACGTGGCTTCAAGTGAGTATCAAAGCAATAACTCTGACTCCTGAGCTTATTCTTTACTCCATGAGGTCCAGGTGAGAACATAACATCACATTCAGGTCCTTTAAACCAACACTTTTGTGCAGAACACTGAGTACTCACTCAGGCATTCTCATGAAATATTTTCATGAACTATCAGAATAATAATCCTGATGGCACCATTTTACAAAAGATATCAATATCAAGGTTTATCTTGCATATGGAAATAGGCATGAAAAAGGTCTTCTGTAATGGTTTACAGTGGTAGCCTTTTTACTTGGGCCAGTTTCTGTGCACAAATTCAGCTGTAATGCTAAGTATAATCTTTAAAAATACACTCTACTGGATTTGACAGTTCAGGTGCTCAGGAATATCTTTTCTTGAGGAGGCAAATCAGGAACAGAATATTAACAGTCTCAGCAGCTTATTAAGTTTTCACCAGAGAGGGACTTCTAAAGGTTCTAAAAAACATTGAAATGCTAATATTTCAAGTGGAATCATTGAATGCAACTAAATTTACTCACCATGTTTGTCATTAATGTCAAAAAGGGTCTATCTATTCACTCTGGAAGAAAATACATACTTTCTTCTTCTTAAAAGGCATATACAGAGTTTCACTGCATCATCTGTTGTCTCTGCAAGTAATGCAGAAGGAACCTGTCTTAATAAATGCTATTCAGTTGTTGAAATGTGTGGTACAGTGAAGAAGAGTAAAATTTTAAATAATTTAGTATTTCTGTCAGAAAACATGGTTTTATGAAAGTACTGTTTGGTTAAATAATGTTTGACCTAGCAGAAGTCCACACTGATGACTTGAAATGTGAAAAAAATGCATGAAAGGAAGGGGATTTTCAGCTATTTCTCATTCTAAGGATTCACAAGAGAATCAGACAGCCATGGATACAAATCTCTGTTCCTGTGTAAGATTGCCACATGCTGTGATCTACAGTCTTGCTGGATCACCAAACAGTATTAAGTATTAAAAATGTGACTGCAAGACACATTCTAAAAGTGCTCCAAAACTAATTTAGTTTGCTGGCTGAGCTTGACCCCACATGATTCATTTCTCTTAATAATCACTGCAGCAGGGTAGAACTTCATCTGAGAGCTTTCTCCTTCTAATTTAAAAGCTTATTAGAAAGGCTGCTTATACTTGATTTAATACCAGCTTGAGCTACAAAACTATTGTCATGTCTTTCCTCATGAGAGTCTGCTCCTTCCAAAGCAAATCAATTCAACCAAAAACTTAATGCAGAGGAATGTGCAAACAGGTAATTGTAAACATTACAATATAGAAATACTGACAGAGGGTCTATAAATGTTGTGTTTGTTGAGTCAAAGTGAATCAGAAAATTTTGTTACTGTTTTTTTTTATTAGTATTGTCATAATTAAATATATCCTATTGACAAGAAATAACCTAAAGCCATAGAAAGAGGCAAAGAATGGCTTCTTATTGCCATGTTTCATAGACACATTTCACTCTTTCTAGGTGGGAGTAGTTTTTAGCAAAATACAAGAGTAAATTCTCCAGGATGCTTAGGAATATATTCAAGCTCTTTTTGTGTTGATAATCAAGGTGAGGAGATAAAAAACATGGCAGGATTTTTTATTTTTGTGGAACGACAATACTGGCTACAGTTCAAAGCTGCACAAGAAAAAGAAAAACTATTTAAGAATGAAAAATTGAATTAGAGGATATGTGAAGGCAACTTACCAATCTTATCTTGATTTACAAGCTGAAGGTTGAGAAGCTGTAGGTGCACAGGTGATGTGAGTCAGTACAACTGCTAGAAGTAGAAAGGAGAGAAAGTCTAAGCAACTCCGTTTGGTTGGAGTTTTATTCTCTTTCAAAGAATAGGCAGATAAGATAGTAATGATGGGAATGATAAAGGAAGTAGGAGTGGGAACTGAGCACTCAAACATTAATAATAAATGAGTTTGCAAATTAGTTCTGACAAAGGGACTCCAGTAGCAGTTCAGAAGAGTGCAGTGAATTGAGAATGGGTTTTGGGATGGAAGCAATAGAAAAAGTGAAGGAAGCAATAGAAAAAGTGAAGGAAGTTAAATACATTAAAAAATTTGGTGGCTGAACAACACAGTTAATTAAGCTCAGTGTTGAAAAATAAACAGCAGTAGATGCTGAAGAAGAAAAAAATATATGCGGTTGTATTTTTTTTTAAGTTTTTCAGTTAAGCACACCAGTGACACAAGTATAAAACAAAACAGATTAGCAAAGGTGT